TGTGCCCGTTTGTGCTGCAAAAAATAAGATATATGTGCTGCTTCGTTTTAAAGATAATACCTATAATAGCTGCATCCAGCTCCCCTGCAACAGTAATATGGATATGAAACCGACCGGTTCTTTAATTCAAATTTTTCATCATACATAGTACAACTTGCACTGAAATGCTTATTGCAATTGCTCCAATTAAATATTGCAACAAAAAAAAACTATAAAAAGAGATGAAATAGATTTGATATAGTACTATATATATACTATATACAGGGATATACAAAATATATATATCTGCTATGTACATATATTGCACTATAGAACAACATTGAACATGGAATTTACAGAACGATGGGGCATAGGAGTATGGAGTGCATAATATAATAATATAATATAATATATAGCCTACGTGTGTTATGCATTGGGGGGAAAGGAGTAATGTCACTCCGTCGCCGTCACTCTCTCGCATTGTTAGTGCTGCTTTTGTGCTCGTTTGAGCTGCTTTTATTTCCTAGATATTACAATATTAATATCCAGACGATGACGCCACAGCCCTTACAACCGCGTTCAGACATGTCGATATGCAATACCTAAAATTTTGCTCACTACATCCATCAACTTTGTTTTGCATTAAAATTGAAAACGTTTCCTTATTAAGAAGTCTGTGGTGTATTTTATGTAAATTAAATGTATTAAATGTAAAAACAAGTGTCATATCAAATGTAGTAACTGACCAAAAATATCTCAAACTAAACAAATCACCGTGATAATTATGTTGCACTTGCTTCAGATGGCGCTGTTTGCTGCAGAAATGCCCCACCCCCCTTTGAAAAATTCAAAATTTAAGTGACCGTTAACACAAGCTGTGTTGAAACAAACTAAGTAAACTTCAACTTCAAATTGTAAAGGTAAGAAACATGAATGTGTGAAAAAATATGTTCAATAATTGCTCCTAATATTTAATGATTTCATAAGCAATTAATGACAACTGAAATATATTTGATTTCGACTGAGACGTTCTGGATATTAATATTGTAATATCTTTTAAATAAAAGCAGCACAAACAGGCACAAACGAACCAGCCCAGTCTTACGTCTGAACGCTGTTATAGGGGTGCTGGGTGAATTTTTGGTGACCTGTGTAAATGATCAGTAATATCTCAAAAACTATAAAGGTAGAACTACAATTTTTGCAGCACTAACGAACGAGCCCGGTTTCATGTCCGAGCGCCTTTTTAGGGGGGCTAGCTGAACTTTTGACCATCACAAAAAAACTTTAATATCTTATAAATTTAGTAAGAGAGATAGAACACTGATTTGTGCGGCACAAAGGCAGCACTAACGAGCCGTTCAGTTTCATGTCCATATACTGTTGTAGGGGGGCTCGGTTACGTAATCGTCTGGAAAAAAATAATAGCTATATTATCTTTAAAACCAATACAGCACAAATCTTAATTTTTGCACCACAAACGGGCACAACGTACCACTAACCAAGTACGATGGAACTGTATTTGTGCCAATTGTGGGGGGGGGGGCAGCTTCACGCAGCTATCTAGTAGGCATAATTTTATGGCGTTAAATTAGTAGAGATGGGGAGTCGACTCCAAAAGAGTCGATTCCTCGACTCTCACTAGCCCTAGTGTCGGAATCGACTCCAGGTCAGGAATCGACTCCCAGTGTCGAGTGTTTTTTTCAAGTTCAACACAGCAACAGTTCATTATAACGAAAAGATTATAATGAATGTAAAGATACAGAAATTAAAACAAAAACATAAAGAAATGAGAGGAAAAAATAAGTAATGCCAGGAAAACAAAGAACAATAATGTATAGATAGTTTTTTTCTGTTGGGTCTGTTTTGCGGCTCAATCAATCATGATGTGGTTCAATACAGTCAATTGGTTGTGATTGGCACAAAACACTGCAGTAGGTTTTTTACGAACCAATCATGTACCAGTCCTCAGGGTGAGAGTGGGACATGCCCATAATTGGCAAGTGGTGGTTGATTGAGTGATACTGTTGAGTGATGACTGTTTTTGAATCCAGTAACGTTAACTTATAATGGCAACCCCGACCTCAACCGTGTGGAATTAAAGAATTTAGATGTCCTACATGAGAGCGGAGCTCGATCGGTTTCAGGGTCGTAGGACATACGAGCGAGAAGTGAGGAAACGAGGAAGCATATTGAGACGCACCTTCTGAATCCTGACCCTATTTTAATTCAAAGTAAATGGAGTCGAGGAGTCGATTCCACCGACTCCAAAATTAGGAGTCGGGAGTCGGAGTCGACTCCAAAAAAACCGGAACCGAACACCCCTATAAATTAGTGCCAAAACTCGCGCGCGTATGCGCTCGCGAGCAGAAAATCCATGCTCTCTACGCTCGCATTTGCACAGTGCTCGCTCGCCGTTACATTAGTGCCAAAAGTCGAACCACGCGCGTGTGCGCTCGCGAGCTGAAAACCCATCCTCTCTACGCGCTCGCGTTCGCTGGACCCTATCTACGCGCTCGCGTCTGCACAGCACTCGCTCGCTCGACAGGATGAATTTTGACACTTTCGAGGCGGGAACAGTGGCTAATTTCTCCGCTCCTTTGCTTGGTTTTTTAAAATATTGACTACGATTGGCTACTTGCTGCGGTAGAAGATGAAGGTAACTTGTCACTGACCGCGGTTAAGTTAGCCTCATATATTTCATATTATTTTTGTCTGTAATAGATATTCATTATTATATCTATACATCTAATGGAGTGTGCTTTGATCAGTGGACTATAGGGAACAATGCACACCCCTTGGATTTTCAGATTAACTTTCTCTCTAACAGTTATTAACACATTGTATGCTTATTACATACCATTGCTCGATTTCATACATATTGACAGTTAATTGATAACACAAATTAATCCATAAATAAGTTGTAAAGTATGATTTAGGCAGTGCACCGTGGGACAAAGCAAATGTACCGCAGTTGAATTGTTTGATTACGTATTTCGTCACATATAAAGTGATCTTGAAAATCCAAGGGGTGTGCATTATACCCCAGAGTCCACTGATCAAAGCACACTCCATAGGACATGGCTGTCGCATTTTGTTTTAGAGCTATTAACCCCTTAGTTGTTGCTCCATTGCACTTTAAGTGGATGCAATATAATAATGAATAACTATTACAGACAAAAATAATATGAAAATCCATATGAGGCTAACTTAACCGCGGTAAGTGACAAGTTATCTTCATCTTCTACCGCAGCAAATAGCCAATCGTAGTCAATATTAAAAAAAAACTATCAAAGGAGCGGAGATATTAGCCACTGTTCCCGCCTCCAACGTGTCAAAATTCATCCTGTCGAGCGAGCCAGTGCTGTGCAGACGCGAGCGCATAGAGAGGACGGGTTTTCAGCTGGCGAGCGCACACGCGCGTGTGGTTCGACTTTTGGCACTAATGTAACGCCGAGCGAGCGAGTGCTGTGCAAACGCGAGCGCGTAGAGAGCATGGGTTTTCTGCTCGCAAGCGCATACGCGCGCGTGGTTTTTATGCGCGCGAGTTTTGGCACTAATTCAACGCCATATAATTTATCTCTAAGTAATAATTTATGGTTTTATTTTTATGTAATCATTATAAGGAATGTTTTATGATTGTCCTTTTGCATTCAGTTTAAAGTTTCCCTTATTTGCATTTGACATTTATTTATTTACAGTTGAGAATTCAGGGTCAGCCAGCACCTGGAGCAATTTGGGTTAAGGGCCTTACTCAAGGGCCCAATGGTGAAATCTCTCTGCCAACCACAGGATTTGAACTGGCAACCTTCCAATCACAGGCACAGAGTCCTAACCCAGAGAGCCTCTCTACCTCTTATTCCTTAGGAATTATCTGGAGTACCCCCTCCCTTAAATAGAATCACAGTTCCTTCATCAAAATACTGCCTTTCTGTGCCGTATCTGGAATTTTGAATTTTGGGAAGCTGTGATTAAAATTTAAATGTGTGTTTGCGATGGATTTTTTTTACTTCTGAGTGTGTGTTTAATCTGCCATTGGAATGTGGGCCAATTTGTGCTGTTAGTAAATATTACTTCTGATCTATATCACTATTTGTCCAGAGTTTTTAAAAAATACTCTAGGCCAGGGGTATCAAACTGAATCGCACAGGGGGCCAAAACTCAAAGCACACTTTAGGTCGCAGGCTGAACAGCATAAGCATTTATTGAACAGCCTACGTTTTTTGCACATAAATATGAATCGAAACAGACAGGATACAATATTATTCCAAAATAAATCAACTTAAACTTAAAATAACTTAAAATATTTTGCTCTCCATAAAAATATCTCCTGTCAAAATTATACAAATTCAAAATATGAATATGCTGCAAAAAAAACTGAAAATATAAATTTTAAGTGAAAGTTAAAATAATAATTCAAAATATTCCATTTTCTTTGCTCTTATGCCATTCTGTCAGAGCTGGATGCTTGGCATCTTTTCTTGGCAACAAGTTCGTTTTTGTTTGGGGTATAAGGTTCTGTGTTGTGGAGATTCTCCCTCAGCCACATTAGCTCCAAAAACAAGACACACAGGTTTACCGGCAATGTCAGTAAACATATACTCAGCCTTTGAAAGGCTCTGTTTTCAGTAGAGATGGGCGATCCACGTTTTTTCAGTTCCGAT